CAAAAGTGCAGAGAACTGGGAAGAAACAGGAGGAGCCATGAGCTGCAGTCTTCCCCATACAAGGGCCACTTTCTCCACCAACCCACCCGCTGCTCCTCTCCCGGGCTGCCTTGTAAATCACACTATCTTCACTCAAAAAGCACATCCCTCACTTCTTCCCTTAGGCCTTCATTCAAACCTCCTCAGCCTGGGAACCTTAAATCCTGAGCTCATCCTTAATGTTTGCTATTTCTCTGCAGCCTCATTCTCCACCCAATCAATGTGTCCTCACACAGCCTCCACATTCTCCTCAGACAAAAGCAGCCTTCCTCAGTCCTTTGCCCAAACATTAAATGCCAAGAGTATTTTCTTCTCATACACTGATGAGAAATTGCTGTTTGTCAATGTAATGTCCTTTTACTATGCAAAAGGAAATGGGGCTGTACCTTTCTCTGCAAGAATTTCCTTGTTTTTTCTAAAACAAATTACCCAACTCTAATCTTTCTTACCTGTCCTGTCCCCAGTACATCACATTCCCAAAGGCTTTATGAGATATCCCATAATATTAATCTTGCATGTAAAATCCCATATAATTAATAACTTTTCATTCCTGGTATAAGTAAATTAACTAGTGACGTAAAGAGTGGACTAACGTTCACTGGCAAGCAGAGGAGTTATCAGAATGCCTATTGAAGTGACCATGCCTCCTTTCCCTTGGTGGTTGCTAATAGCTGTGAGATGGGAGATTGTTCTTTATACTAATATTTATAATTTTTCCAAATGTTTATTAGCACACTGTGTTAGACAGTAGTAAGAAATAGGCACCCACACATTGCTAGTCAAACTGTAAACACCATACGCTCAATTAAGATTTGACAAAAACTATTAAAGTTACTTACACCCATAATCTGGAATTCCATTTACAGAAATTTAGCCCATAAATATACTTGCACATGTGGGAAGCAAATATATGTACAGATAAAGGTTTTTCATTGTAGCATGACATACAACAGAAAAAGACTGAGACTAATGTGGATATCCATAGAGAGAGAACTGAGTAAAATGTGAAATAAAATAAAATTCAATATTATCCAAAATCATATGGTAGTTTTGAAAAACAGAAAAAAGCCCACAAATTCTTTGATACTCCTCCTTTCAAGAGGTGGAGCCAAGCCCCCATCCCTCACCCCTTGAGAGTGAGCTGGTTTAGTGACTCACTTCGAACAAGTGGAATACAGCAGAGGCGATGGTGTGTGACTCCCAAGACCAGGTGAGGAAGGCATTACAGCTTCTTCCTTCCATGGTCTATTGGATCACTTCCTTATTCTTTTTCTTGGATCATGTCTCGGAGAAGCCAGCTGCTATGTCGTAATGACACTCAAGCAGGCCTATGGAAATGTCCAACAGCCAGGAAGGAACTGAGGTCTTTTGCCAACAGCCATGTGAGTGAGGCATCTCAGAAGCAGATCCACCGGCCCAAGGCAAGCCTTCACGTGACTGCAGTTCCAGGCAGCATCTTGGCTGAAATCTCCTGAGAGAGAGACCTTGCACCAGAACCACCCAGCTAAGCTGCTCTCACATTCCTTACCCATAGAAACTGTGAGACCATAAATGTGTATTGTTTCAAGCTGTTAAATTTGGGGGTAAATTGTTACACAGCAATAGGTAATTAATACACATTGGTAAATATGACTCAAATAAAATATCATTTGCATTTTCAAAAAATCTGTTTGCCTCTTATCAGAAGTCCTTTCACATCATACATTAAAATATGGTTACCTGGTCTGTGGAATAATAATAATTACTTTCTAGCTACAGAAGAGAAACATTTCCTTAAACCTTAAGAAAAAAAAACCCTAATCAGCATCATCTGATTGACCTTACTTACTGAATTACGAAGATCTTGATAGTGAAAGCTAAACTTTCAATCAGGAATGCAATTTAGGAAAACTCAAGATCAAGAAAAATGGCATAAGGCAAATAGAATAGGAAATAATTTAAATAGCTTTAACTGCATTTAAAAGAAAAAATGTTTTAAGAAACTGCTACTTGGCAGTTGTCATCAATCCTTGAATATTCTATTTCATATGCCAAACAAAAACTGTGCAATTTTAATGATAATGATAATAATAGCTAATAATGATTGAGCAAATGTGCTAAAAGGTTTACATAATTTGTCACATGCAATCTTCATAATGACCCCAAGATAGTTACTGCTACTAGCCCCACTTCCAGACGAGGAAATCAAGCTTCAGCAAGGTCAAATAACCTGCCTGATCTCACACAGCTGATAAGGAGCAAAGCAACAATTTGGACACCTGCCCTTTGGACTCCACAGCCAGAACTTTTACTCACTACTCTATATTCTACGCTATAATGCCCCATATTGTACACTACTTTACGCTTTTTGTGAGATTAAGGTTTTATCAAATAGTATCTAGGTCATTAACCAAGTACTTAGAATGTGCATGGCACTAGGAGAAGTGCTTACATGCCTTATTTCATTTCGTCCTCACAACCACCCTACAAGCAGGGACTGCTATTATTCCCATTTTACAAATAACCTAACGGAGCCTGACAGAGGCTGGGTTGCCCAAGGTCCAGACCTCAGAGCCAGGCTTCAAGCCAGGCAATCTGAATCCAAAGCCACCTTCCACAAAGTGACGCAAAGGCATGAATAATCAACGTTTCTAAACTAAGAGGAGGTAGGATATGTGGGAGATGCCTGTGTCCTTCCAAAGACAACCATGGGGTTAGAAGGCTTATGGGAATAAAAGGAAACAACCCAGCAACATTTCAGTCTCCATGGCACCTGGAGGATTTTAGAGTGGTTTCTAAGCACCTGTAGTAGTTAATTGACTTCCAGTTTGTGGTCCACAGCACTGTTTTAAAGTCTTCATGAGACCAAGGAGAAGGAGCTGTGGATGCACTTTCTTCTCAGGTTTATTCATCACCTAGTTATCAATGCTGTGTCTCTGGAGGAACAGGACTGCAGATCTGATTTTTCACTCATTAATTATTTATGAAACTCTTACGATATGCCAAGCATTCTTTCAGGAGCTGGTTACACAACAAACAAAACAGATAAAAACTCCTGTCCTCATGGGAATTACATTCCCGTGTGTAGGAAAAAGAGACAATAAACAAACTAAACAAATATACAGCAGGTTAGACTGTGATAAGAGCTATGGAGAAAGGAGACGACGAATGTGGAGGTAAGGGGTTGCAATTTCAATTAGCCTGGTTAGGAAAAATATTATTATCATACATATTATTATCATACATAAATTGTACAGACTCCAACAGTAATTTTTTCCTCTTAAATTAAAATGATTATATGAATAACTTCCAACGCTCATTTTCCTGATACTGTTATAATTATTTAGGGAAGTAGATAGACAAACCATGTGGGGGCCCAAATTATTGAAATGGCGATCTAAACTAATTTGGAAAAACTGGATAATCAAACTTTCATCTTTTCCGAATTATAGCCAGCATCTGATTTGCATATGGCAAACTAACCCTTTCTTTTAAAAATCCTTTGATAACACAGGCAAGAAATTGAGTGGAAAAGAGAGAGTTAGTTTTACAGAGACTGAGACTAACTTGCAAAGAGGACCCCAGCGAGCCGTCGATGTTCCTCAAAAGTCCTGGGCAAATTTATTGGGTTGGTCCGTTGTCTCCCAGCTACTTAGAGAATGGGAAGGAAAAAAAATGGCTAATGGCCTTTTTTTCCCAAGTCTGGTCCCATCCAAAGTACAGAGATCTAAAAGCCAGCTCTTACCCTACTCAGCTGTGTGACCTTGGAAAACCTGCTTAACCTCTCTGAGCTTGTTTCCCCCCGAACCACATGGAGATCGTCTCTGGAAGACAGCTATGAACTACTGTGACCCTAGCACCAGAGCATGAAAGGCTTATCTTCCTCATCACATTCCACAGTTATCTCCTGAACCAATTTTAAGCGGGAAATTTCTTCTTCTAAGTCCATCTACTCCCTAGCATTCCATGCTTACAGGGCAGTTTGTAAAGTAACACTGTTTCACACAGCGACACTGGGGCCATAGACAGTTTTGAGAGCAGGAGGTCCCTTTAGCACACAAAAGCCACTGTCCAGACATATATCAGGAACCCACTGGCAACCTTTTCTAGAGAGACCCAAGAGATGGATCCTGGCCTCCCTCTCTTTCCCGTTGTAGCTCTTCTTTCCCACCTCAGAGGCCAGTCAGAAAAGAAACGCCCACACGTGTCTAGCTGGACGCTGGCAATCGTGAGGACCCACCCCTTTGTGATTTTCGGTTTTACTAGAAAGGAGCCAGCAACAATCCTCTTCCTTCCCCCTTCCCCTCGGCACTTCCATTCTGTCCACACATGACTGCCAGTCCAGATACTGGGTCTTTCCCTCCATAACCCCCTTCCAGACTCCACGTAAGTCTCTCACACTCCCCACTGCACACTGACACCTGCACACATGCCAATGCTTCACACACACCCTTAGACTCTTCCCTATAATAATTCATAGATTTCTCAGTTTCCTGACTGTGATGGGTTCTCTAATTAGCACTTCGCAGTCCCAACTCCACACCCTTTTAGAAGGAATGTCTCAAAATGCTCTAGTTTAACTTGAAATTCTAACTCCTTTCCTTCATCTCCCCCACCCCATCTCCCAAGGCAGAATTTCTACTGGCCACCTCACCCAGAATACTAAGTCATTCATCACACCACACCGAGAAACGCAAACACACAGGTTTACCCACAGTAGGGCTTGTAGATTCAGGCTCCGTCCAGAAGAACGTGCACACACACACAGACACATACACCAAGAAGAAAGATAAATGAATTGAATTTTGTTTTACGTGTGTGTATGTGTATAATTTCATGGTTTGCTGTGGATGTTGACTTTTGTCTGTGTTTAACAAAATAACAAGGGTATTTTGACTAAAGAGGATGAGCACAAGTCCATGCACACTTGCATGCACACATGTACGTATAGCTGTAAGTGAGCGCACAGTTTACAAACGTACCTCCCTTCCTCAGTGGCGGCGGCTGCTCCCGCTCTCTCTGAAGGATGGCCTGGCAATAAAAGCAGAGGAGCATAGTCCACAGAAAGCAGTCACAGCCCTAGTAACTGGTTACTGTGTCAGTGTTAATGGATTGCAAATGCAAATCACTGCCCAGTTTTCATTCTCAGGATCAGATTTGCTGGTTAATTAGTAATCATTGTCTTCCTTTGAGGAGAACATCCCCGAGACCCTGGAGCAAGAAGCGACCACCCTGACCCCTTGTAAAGTCTCCAGGGCTGAAGGTTTATTCAGCAATGAGGACACTCAAAGGGCCTGTGAAAAAGCAGAGACTGACTCAATGTGTACACAATAAAGTGCAGAAAATAAACAACCCCTTATCCCAGAAGAGACCTCTCTCTGCCAGCAACCTCTAATCACTCAGGAACCCGCTGACATTTAGTAGCGCAATCTGCTGATTTGAGTTTGAAGGAAATAGTTTTGAAAATGTTTTCAAAATAGTTTTCTTCTTTTCTTCCCTCCAGAAGAGGTGTCCTTAAGCTTTTTTGTGCTATGAAGGCCCTTTGGCAGTTTGATGCCTGCTGTGGACCTCTTTTAGATTTACATTTTAAATGCATGAGATAAAATATTTAAGGATACAAAGGAAACCAATACCACTGAATTATAGTTACCAGAATATTTGTTTAATTGAGATATAGTAATGCATGTGCTTCTTTAATGATACGTTAACTAAGAAAACCAGCGGCAAGTCTAATAGCCATTGCAATTTCAAAATACTGTGAACAGTATTTTGAGATTATCTTCAAAATATGAGATAAAAGTAACTGTAACATCTCTTGGAACCAAAGTCTTTGGACCTGCTAACACTACTGCGGTTTGTGGCCTAACTTGATAATGAAAAGACATGTTAAATTTCAGTCAGATTTTAGCAAGGAAAAAAATACCTAAATATTTCCCCCTTCCAAGTTCACCTGCTCTCTGAGTTACATCCACAGCTCCCAGTGCAGACCTGGCTCATGGCTAGGCAGACTCTCTCTGAGGCTGGGCGCTGTCCTCACCTGTGACCCCTCCAGATGACCCCAGTGATCCGTGAACTGCTGTTGCCCAAGGAAATAAGAACCGAAATTGAGGACAAGCGTTTAGAAGATTTTATTGCAACTAGACAGTAATTTTATGTCCATTAACTCTCATAATTAACAAACAGAGCTTGTATTTTTATATATCTAGCTCTTAATTTTATTTTTTTAGTAATTTATTTTCATTTTAAACTTACAAAAGCCTCTGTTTGTGACATATTAGAAATTAAAAAAACAAAAACAACGTCTTCTCTTTAGCACAGAGAGTTTAAAAAGCCCTGCTCAACACTGTTACTGCCAGACATCTGCTTTTACGGGCCAGTGAAAATTCAGGAAAAATGCAGGCCCAGGGACCACTGCATGTGTCCCCTGGAAAAACCAAACAATAGCCACCATCTATTATCACTGTCATTCCATAGTGGATGTAGACTCTCAAAAGAGAATCAATTTATCTTTTTGAAAAGTTCACTTCCTTGTCCTTATTTTTCTCGTTTCACCACCGGTGACCACCAGTGAAATGTCTCAGGAGCCATCAGAGTCTGCAGACCAGATATTGGGAACCAGTGATCTACTGCATTTCTTTGGCATCATGAAGTCAAAGAATTCGGAGCTAAAAGAGGAAGGAAAGGAAAACTGGCGTGCATGGAGGCCTGTGGGCACCAAGGCCTTCCGCTTACATGACCTCCCTCAGAGCCACAGCGGCCCAGCAGCAGCAGAGGTTTGAACGGCAGTCTGAATGCTCACCCACTGAGCGTCAGGGCAGGTGAACTGTTTGCTATTGACCCTAAAGAGCTTTAAAGATCACGAAATATGGCCCACTCATTTTACAGATGCGGAAGCTCGGCCCAGGGATTTTGTGAGGTTCGCGTAGGGTAGTGACTAAAAGCCCAGGTCTGATTACCAGCTGGGGAAGCACAGCCAAGCAGGCCTCTGTTTCCTTAACTCAAACAAAGATAGAACTGTTACCTATCCAATCAAATTATAAAGGTTGAACAATATAATACAAGTAAAAGACTTGGTGTCACACAATAACTGCTTGATAAATGCCAGTTACAATTATTGTGATTATCATGCACCTGCCACATCTGTGACTGAAGCCCACACTCCGGACTCCCGACCAAGGCTCCTTTGTGCCAATATCTCCTTCTCTCCTAAATCAGGGTCCTCATTAACGTTTAGAAAAGAAAAACGATTGACCACCTACTTTGACCAGGCCCCATACTACATATTGACATCTATGACGTAGCCTGACTGTGGCAATTGAAAAATTTAGCCCCTGGATTAAAAAAGGAGATGATTCAGGTGAGACCGAGGTGCAAGGACGGTGAGGCCCAGAATGGTTTGCTGTTCGGTGCCTTACCTGGGCCTGATGTCAGGAAAACATCTGTTTGGGAGCCGTGGAGACCAGGCAAATGTGAGAAGGAGTAACGTGATGACAAGACCTCCTCCCCATTCCCCAGACACCGCCCTTCCCCAGACCTGCACAACCCATGGCTGGATCAGGCATCAGGTCCCGGGCTGCCTCTCTTCTTCCAACTCCCGAAACCACAACAATAACCACTTGCTAACGCCAAGTCAATTCAACCTCTAGTTACTATACGTGCACTATAAACAAGGTGCTATCAGAATAGAAATAACAGCAACATTTCTGCAATGCTTACTATCACCTATGCGTTATGTTAAATGATTCACAGGCATAATTTCATTTCCTCCACATAACTACACTATGAGGCAGATATTTATCCCAGTGTTACAGATGAGAAGTCTGAGGCGCAAAGAGCAACTTGCCCAAGGTTATGTAATTAATAAGAGGTGAAACCAGAATGCAAAGCCAGGGAGTCTGGTCTAGCCTTTACTCAAACACAAATATGAGTGACACTCCAAAATCTCACAGCCAGGAGAATGTACGAAGTTAAATGGTTATGATACAAAAGAGAAAGCACTAACAAATATTACTGGAAACAGAACACACACAAGTGGATGTAACAGGAAAGAAACCAAAGGCGTAGATAGATGGGAGTGGAAGGAAAGGAGAGAAGGAGAGACATTTGGGGGCAGGGATCAGCATCAGCAAGGCACAGAGGTAAGAAAGAACAGGACCTGATCTGGAAACTGCAGCAAAAAGATACAGACAGGGAAGACACTTGTGGGAAATTCAGGAATACTGTGGGAAAAGCACGCTGGAGCCACATCGTGTATCGTGTTAGCAAGAAGACTTCCACCGGAAACAGGGACTCATCACAGGTAAGGCACTGCCCAGAGCTGTCATAAGCATGAAATAGATAGCTCTCTGCCTAGCACTGAAAATGCTGGATTATCTGTCACTTTGGTCTTCATTCCGAACATTACTTCTCATACCTCCAAACAGAACAAGTACATATCCTTAGGGAACTCTGGAATCTGTGCAAACTGCCTATCCGTCAGTAACATAAAAGTATGGAAGTCTTCCACCCTGAGACCCTCCATGGGCATCCCCTAAAGACCAACAGTGAATCACATTGTCTAATGAGTGAGGATACTCTCCCTGTGCCAACCTTCCCTAAACAACACTGATTCAAGCTTCTGTTCTAAAGCCTAAAATAGTCATGGTCTATTCTTCGGATAAATTTCAAACTCTCTTTCTTTCTTTATGGCCCTCTTTATCATTCTTGACTCTACTTTTCCAATGTTTTTTCACTGTTCACCAGTCAACTTGGCTCATTGCTGCTTCTGCATATTTGCTTAAGGGCAGCCCTCCACCAGAAGCGTCTATGTTCTCTGTTTCCCTATGTGAACTCCTCTCCTATTGCAAAGCCAAATTCACTTTGTCGTGAAGTTTCTCCAAACGCTCAATTCATGTTGATGTTTCCTCTTTCCTGAACTACTGGAGTAATAGTACATTCCAGAATACGTTGTTCTATTTCACAGGTGTACATAGCCCAAAGTGCTCAGAGGAATGCGGGCCCTTCATCAAGTCCCTGCTGACTAGTTCCTTCACAGTCTCCATCAAAGCCAGACCCACCGGAGAAGCTTATTCTGACCACCGAGCTTGGAAGGGACAGCTGAGCACCAGTGTGTGTTCTCCATGCTACTAGCATTGAACATGTGTTAAGCGATTCTCCATTCCTGAAATAAAATCTTTACACAAATAAGATACTCATCTGTCTAGATTTTACCAGCAGTACACTATGGATAGATCAGATGACTAAAAGTATCCCTAATAGTCTATTCATCTGAAACGGTTGAATAGAACATTGAAATCAAGATAAATCATAAATCATTGCTTGGAGTTAAATCTTCAGATGGTGGTTTAATGGTGAAGGGGGTTTAATGGCGAATGGAGGGACCCACAGGGTTTCATAGAAAGGGTACGGGATTTGGAATCAAACCAGCCTGGGCTTGAATATCAGATTCTCTACTTACTTGCTACAGACCTTGGGCAGTCATTTAAATTTTTTGAAACTCAGTTGCCTTCTCTGTAAATGAGGAGTGATAATATGCATGACATCATATTATTTTGAGCCTAAGCTGAAATAATAAGTACCTGACATCCAATGTCAGCTTCCTAGTCCATCGTTAACTCGTGTTTTCTGAAAATAAAGTCAAATAAAATACAGCAAGCAGTATCATTAGCTTAAATTCTGTTAAGAATTCCTCCTCCATTTCATCAACCCCGAGGAACAGCCTCACTAGATTGGGCTGGAGAAGGTGGTCTCTTCCATCCACGAACCACTGATGGACAAGCAGAGAGCACCCGGGCCCCCCACACTGAACTGATTCCACAGGCCATTGGAGGAAAGCCAGGCCTAGCTCATTAGTTTGTTCTACACTCTCTCTTCCTCTCTCTTCCTCTCTCTTCCTCTCTCCCTCTCCACCCTCTTTCTCTCCCTCTCTCTTTCTCACACACACACACTACATCACAGCACACTACTCATACTCACAAGCACATGCCGTCCACACCCCTTCCTCTCACAAATCATCTCTCAGAGTCTCCATAGCTTGTAAACTTTAAATTGTACCTCTTTGCTTTTCTTGCAGCCGAGTTGATTTTCCTTCCTTTGCCCCAAATGTAAGCTCTTCACAACAGAGGCTACCTGGAAAGGGAGAAATGGTGTTCTTCGGGGTAAGAGTAATTTCTCTGCCCAGAAATGCTCAGAGGAAGGTGAGAGTAGAAGCGACTTATACTGAGCATTACAGCATTTCCTTTCCTTGTGAAATATCTATTATTCTGCGTTTTACACTGCTTTCCACCCATTCCTATCTCTTACTCCCACAGTCAGGTACGTGTGCACACAGGTGTGAGTCCAAGGACAGAGTTACTAGGAATAATACATACCTAGTATTCATGTTAGTTATAAAACTTTGCATTTGTATAACACCTTGCAGTTTTCAGAGCACTATAATCTATATTATCTCTTTAATCACAACAACCCTATGAGATAGGGCACATTTTTTTTTTTATTTAATTTGTTTGTTTTTTGTGTTGGGAAGATTGGCCCTGAGCTAATATCTGTTGCCAATCTTCCTCTTTTTGCTTGAGGAAGATTGTAGCTGAGCTAACATTTTGTGCCAATCTTCCTCTATCTTATGTGGGATGCCGCCACAGTGTGGCTTGAGGAGCAGTGCCTGGTCCACGCCCAGGATCCACACCTGGGAACCCTGGGCTGCCGAAGTGGAGCATGCAAACTTAAATACTACATGACCAGGCCAGCCCCTGGGGCAGGTATTTTTAATCTCCATGTATAAATGAGGAAGCAGAAACTAAAGAAAACGACTTGTTAAAGGCCACTCAAATAACGGCAGGGTTGAACTTGCACTAACTTAATTGCAATCTAGTAATCCAATGTTCATAAAGTCTGAAGTCAGAAAATTGCTTTTGCAGACTAGATACTTGTTCATTCATTAAAAGTTTTCAAAGTTCACTCTCCACCATGTCTCCCAAAGTGGGAATCCTCAGATCCTATCAGTTACCAAATTCTACCATCCTTACCTCACAGATGGCTACTTCTCTTTAAGCCCAAATCTCATACTAGAGATTCCTATCATCTCCTCCATGGCTCCCCTCCCTTCACCCAGAGAGCACCTGCCCACCCCTAACCCACTGGTCACTGCTGATTGGACCAGCACTGGACAGTTGACCCAATCTGGTCCAGTTGGATCCTCCCTCCCAGAAATTACGATTTGAGACACAGAGTCTAAATCATATTGCATTGGGCCTGTGAGATCATGTCATGTTATTGAGAGGCAGAAATTACAGAGTTTTACTGAAAATACTTGTTTACTCAAAAGAGAATGGAATAGACATGTAGAAAGTAGCAAAAATAAGAGATCATTCAAACCCAAAGAAGGAAAATCAGAGAGCCTAGCTACCAGGATTTTTCCTTTTTCTGTGAAGGCCAATGTACAAGTGAATTGCATGTGATTCTCCCGCTTCTTCAACAAAATACTACCTCTACTATTACTACCATCACCACTTCTACTGCTAACCACCACCGCGACCACCACCACCACCACCATCATCATCATCTTCATCACCCTTTCTTCCAGCCAGTTTCTGTGAGTCTCTCTGCCTGGCAACCAAATAGTTCCTGCCTGCCCCACTCTGACAGGTTCTCATTATCTCCCTTTGTCCAGTGTAAATATATTCACCAAAAATCTCTAACCACCCCAGTGGAAGCTACAGGCAACACATATTATCCTCCTATTATCTGTGCTTTGCTGGCTTTTACAACCACTGGCAATTGTAGGACCTTCAAATCCCCACGAAGTCTCTCTGAATCGTTTGGCATCCCCATATAATTGTATTTTTTTAGATCAGGATACACATAACCTAGGGGTATGTGGTGACATACCAAGAGGTACATAACACATGTTCTTGGAAGTTCAACTTTAATCAAAGATCACTGGAGAAGAATAAGTAACTTGAATTAATGTTTTGAATTATGAGAAGTGTGGCAGTATAATATGCAAATTTACATGATTTATTTCATATTTTTCAACATAAAATAGAATTTTACAAAAATTTTCCCTTGTGATGAGCCCCTGGTAAGTACGCTTCCCCCTAGACCCACGCCCCAGGGGAAAAAAATGTAAAACGAATGCCATAGAAAATGTCTTAAAGGCACCAGCAATGTCTTATAGCCATGCACAGGCTCTATCTATCATTGCCCTCTGCTCTGGCTCAGCCTCTCTCCCCTACATACTCCCCTCTCTGTTCTGCTCTCTGGGAACCACCATGCTTGCACTATCTCCCCAGTCTCTGCCAGACAGAGGATCCTCAAAGTGTCAGTGTTGCACAGTGTTCTCTGACTGTTCTATGTTAGAGAGAAACAGAACAGGGCTGACTATCATCCAATGTCTTACAGCTTTATCAGCTTTTACTTAAAACCTTGTCTTCTTTAATTCATATTAGTGAGCAAAATGAAGCCTAAAAATGGGTCCAAAGCTCCCTCTAACAGAATTCCTACTCACAGGTCCCTGCTGAGGGAAATGATCTTATATATGTCCCTAATCACAAGATTCCATGTTGATATCAAAGCTGACTGGACAAGGGATGGTCATCTCACCCAAAGACAGGCAATCTTTCAATTGGCTGGCATCTTAAGAAGTAGCTTGCTGTGTGATCACTAGACAACCTGGATTCTCTTTCTGAATGTAAAACACAGAAAGAACTAGTAGCAAGATCAATTAGCAACAGGAGCAAAATTTAAAAATAGAGAAACAGAAGTAAAAGGTGTGTAAGACCATCTTCAACCTCATCTCCCATACCAGTACCACTCTGCCCACATCCTTCTGACAATCATGAGTAGACAAAATACGCTTTAAAATGCAGGAAGCAGAGACATCCTTCCTGTTGTTTCATCTATTGCACTTCCTGTTTTCTGCCTCTTCATGACAAGTAAACCTAGACAGAGTGCAGGCTGACCTTCTGTCCATTCCACTTCCATGCCTTAATGGGCAAATAGATTTAGGGCCCTTCTTACAGGCAAGTTATCAGTTAGTAATAGCACTCAGATTCCAGTAATAGTGGCCCAAGACATGCAGAGATTACCTTCCCCACATAATGAGAAGCCTGGAGCAGACTAATTGTTGGTGTGGTTTCAAGTACTCAAAACTTTCAGGATGAAAGCTTTGAGATTCTCTTAGCTTTTCCATCATAGTTGGAGCTCCAACCATAACATCCAAGCTCAGGCATAGAAAGAAGAAAAGGCAACAAGAGCTTTCTAGGAAATCCCACCCAATAACTTCTTCTTGTGTCTCATTGGCCACTCCTATCTGAAAGAAAAATGGGTAATGCAGTTTATTTTTAATTAGGAATATTGACATACCCAATAACACAGGGATTCTGTTGGTAATGAAAAGGAGAGAATTGATATTGTATAGACAATTAGCAAAATCTACCATGAACAGAATGGCAAGTAGAATGTGTGGACTCTGCCTAGGTCTACATTCTCCAACCTAACTTGTACCAGAGCTCTGCCTTGGGAGCCTTTGGGCATTAGTCTAGCTTCTAATAATGTAATACAAACCCTGCACCCCATTTCACTGTTGTTCTTCCCATATAATAGGAGTGATTAGCAGGGCTGGATTTGGTAATTTCTGGGACTCTTGGCTATATGTCACCTAAAAGCATCAATATCCTTTTTCAGTTTCTAACAGTCTGAGTCTTGTTTATGGTGGAGCATTCAAGTGAATGACAATTAACTCCTGCTGCTAAGAAGACAACATGGATTCTGAATAGAGTTCCAGTACTCAAGCAATGTTCCAGACTCTGTGAGGCGTGGTTATTGCTAGGATCCTGGGAAATCGCTTGCTCCCTTATATCCCAGGGCTTCTCAATTGGTGGAGTGCATCAAAATCACTTGAATGGCTTGTTGAAACCGATTGTTAGGCTCCACCTTCAGAGATTTTGATTTGACAGTTCCAAATGGGGCCCAAGAATTTGCATTTCTAGCAAGTTCTCTGCTGATGCTCATCTCCCTGGTCTGGCGCAGCTTATAATAAACTCTCATTACTGGAGATCACTTGACTAAATCCTTACTCCTTGCAGCCAAAAAAGCCTACTCACACCTTTCGGATTCAGACAGAAGTCCATAGGAGTAGATAAAGGACAAGGCCTCATGACAAACACCTCGTCCCTCAGAACTTTGCCTACACCTTGGTGCCTTCAGTTTTGTTATTGGGTGAGGTTTCACCACCTAATTCTTTCTTCCCTTAGGATGAGTGCTTCCCTGAATGGCTACACAGTGAGTAGTAAGACACTTTCAGCCTTTAATCCTCAGTGCAGAGGTTTGAATTCCAGGAGCTAATTCAGCTAGATTTAAGCAGAGCCTGCACACCACATTCATAAGAAAGCAAAGTTGATCACATCATTATCTTGGGTTTAAAGCAAATGGCCAAATAAATGAACAAGAATCTAGTTATGTCATATACCATAAGGAGCAGAGAATGAATAATACATAATCCTTGCTTTTGAATAACTCAGTAATTGAGGATACGCATATGTAAACAATGACATATTTTAATAGATATGGAAAGTGCTACAATGGTGACATGAACAAAGTGTGATGGAAGCAAAGGAGATGTAGGAAGCCTATAGGATGGGAGTCAAGGAAGGCCTCATCCCAGACCTGCCTGAAGAATTTCTGAAGAATTTCTTTTCATATTTATATTCATATATTTCTAATAGCAGTGTTAATCTGCTGGGTGGATAGACATGTCCTTTCATTGATCTTAAATGAGCCTACAGAGATTTTCCCCACCCCTTTTCCTGGATAGAATAGTGGTTTTCTGAGATATAAACCCACCCAGACTCAACGTTTCTATCTTTTCTGGGAATGGGATGAACTATCACCCCACCACCACCACCACCACCACCACCACCCTGAGGTAGGTGTACATAAGGGCTCAAGTGCCCCCCCCCCCCCCCCCCCACCAAAATAAACCTGTTCAAACAGGTCTGAGGTTAGAAAGAATGTTACCAGGCATCTCACCAAAGCAAGGTACCCCCTCCACCCCTCACTCCAGATTGGTAGCTAGGCTTAGAGGAAAGAGCACCAAAGGTGAAAGCAGAATATCTGGGGTTAGAATCCCAACTCCTCACTTAGTAATTTAGTTAACTAAACAGAGATATTTAGCTATTTAACCTTCCTGAAACTCCACTTTGTCATCAGTAAAATGAAAGTATTACATTCTTCAAAGGACAACCGTGAGAATAAAAGATATTAAGCCTACCATAACGTGGTAAATGGAGTCTACAATCTCAATTCTATAAAATACGGAACCACATTACTGCAAGAATAAATAAGTGGCTGGGATGAGCCTGCAGCATGCAGGCCCACAATTGCAGGGCTCACGGTGGTCTGGCGCCACCTGGTGGGAGCTGTTAAATAATGACAGGAGGATTCTGGATCCCAGGCTGGCTGGAACTTCCGGGAAAATGGCAGTGATTAAAATCCTCTTGCGGTGCCTTGGGGTGCATTTTTTTGACCGATTATAAGGAGATGTTGGAGACGCGAGACTCAGCCTCAGCCTCCACGCTTCCTGAGGGCAGGTTAACTGTTCTTTCCCGTTGGTCTTAGACAACCCTCCATATCGTTCTACCCACGGGAAAAGAACTGAAGGCAGTCCCTGTTTACCAACGGAGGCAGGCGGAGGAAGAGAGGAAGCCAGTCACAGATCACTTTACATTGCAATTCGCACAGAAGTGAAATAAACCATTTTGGTCATGAGTGCAGGCTGGGCTGGCCCCTCCAATCTCATGTCCTGCTGCAAGCCAGCCACACTGGCCTCCTCTCACCCATCAAAGCACAGAGCTTCTCCCCTCCCCCATCACCTACCTGGGTGCCATTTCCTCTGTTTGAAACGCTCTGCATCATCTCTACCGCCGGACTTCAGAATGACGCCCCCCCAATCGTCTGTTTCCTATCCCTTGTCTGCCCCATTAACATTAAATTGTTTTTTTCAGTTAGCTCTGCTATCTGAAGTCGCTTAGTTGGGTTTTCCCCTCTAAATTAAAATAGTCTCTTTCGTAAGGAATATGTTCTTTCACACATAAACTGTCGTTTCCTCACAGTCCCTGTTGGCATGTCTTCTTTTCTGGAGGCCTCACTGGGACTTCCCTACCCTCTCTCAACCTCCACCCCTTTGCTTTGCATCCAGATAGCTGGGTAGGTGAGGGGAGTAGGAGGTGCAGCTTGGGGGTAGGGATTGAGGAATCTCATCAGTGATGTTCAAACCTGAAGCTCACTTTGTTCTCAAAAATGTACATACTTTCTTGACCTTGAACCCAATTTACCTATAGCAAATTCAACCCATTGCCAGTTTTAAAATTAAAATCAATTCCGTGCTTTATGTAACCCAATCAAGTAATTAAAGTTTCTGCCACATCTGTTGTCCGCAGCCGCAAAGGGCAAGGAATGACAGGTACCGCCAAGGCTACTTGGTTGTTTAAGCAATCAAAGTTTATTGATAAAGGGAAACAGAACAAGGAGCAGGGATAAAGGGGAGCAACAAATCGGTACTTACAACATTCACACCACAATCAGCCGGGAAAGTCCCAACAGTTTATACGATGGGTGGAAGTGCCTATTGACCAGGTCTGAGGCAAAGCATCCTTTCCTCACTGAGACTCCCAATTGTTCTATGCTTGTGACTCCCTTTTATCCTAAGCTTTCTCTAGGTTGTGACTCACGGTTTCAGACATTTGGATACTTTGAGTTATTTCTTCTTGTTCCCACAGATGGGGTGCTTCTTATCTTTTTTGTTCCCACAGATGGGATGTTTTTAAAGTCCTGTCGGGTGCCCATTGAAGTGACCAGCCCAGACAAGGAACATGACGCAGGACATATTCTTTGTAACTGGTGCCTTAGAGTCAGGGCCGAAGTGGCCATCTTTGGCCCTGAGCCCAGACACATTCCTTTGTGTAGGGCCCAGGCCCAGTGTCCTTGGAAGGTGGGGAGGTCAATGAACTCTGTACACCATCCTGTTTACAATCTTAATTTCAGAGCTTTCTTTCCCAAGGGCCTGCCCCTCCCAGTTCTCAGGATCTGGTTTCTTCTTCTTCCACCTCACACTGGAAGGGAAGAGGAGAGAGAATTTAATATAAATGGACGTTGCCTGATTGTCCATCCGTGAGCACTTCTCTGCTAGCTCTGATGCTGGCATCATCATTGGGTGCTGGTGGCATTGGCCACTGCCACAGCAATCCTGTGAGGGTGAAGAATGTGTCTTTCATCTCTATATGCTTTAGGCTAATACTGGTGGTCTTGGCTGATAAAGCGATTTCATGGGAATTGGTGCTAAGGTTTTTCTTAGATAATGCCCTATCATACCCTAACCACCTCATCTCAAAGGACTGCCAGCTCTTCCTGTGGTCGCTGAATCTTCTTTCAGCCTCAGCCAACAGTGCACATTCCACCTCATTTTCCAGCTTCACAGAGCAGCCACCAAACCAGCCCAACACCACTGCTGACCTCCGGGATCATCTCACTGTCTCAAAACAGTGAGTATACTTCATTCCCTAACTCTGAGGGGACTCAGGTACCAGTGTCCCCGTCCTCTCCTTCTAGTCTCTCTACAGTATGGGTACTTTTGCTCCTACAAGCTGGCGCAAGGCACTTCAGCAGGCCTCCTGCCTTCAGAACCTCCACCTCTGTTCTGACATACTTTCAGGCATCTCCCCATTTCCTCCAAAGGAAGCTATAGAGGGATAGCAAGGCTCTGCTCTCTTAACTCTTAGGCTAACTGAATCCTCTCAACAAAAACAAAACAAAACAAAAAACTCTTTTCTCCCAATGACTCCTTAATTTGTCTGTGTTTGCGATTTTCTGAGAATAAAGACAGTTGTTTGCCAAACCTTGTAGTGGATTGAGAGGTCTCCTTTGTGTCTCTGCCTTTCAGAATTTTGTAACCTTTTCTATATCAGTGCCTCATCACTAATGTGATCCTTACAGCTAAGATGGTGTAATGAGGTGGTGAAGGGACTGAGGTGTAGGAAAAGATACCAGCCATGTTTCATATCTATCTATCATGATGATACATACAGTTATTTATCACTAATCTTTTTGTAGATTGTGAACGCAAAGGACTATTTATACCAAGTTTAACATTTTAAACAAACTACAACTTATTTATGAACATTCCAGTCTTCTGTCAGTCGTGCTCCCTATCTGTAGAATGGGTTGCAACTAACCTTATTTATTGCATCCTGATATTTGTTAATTTCTGTTAGATTATTGTTCATTTTGTCTTTAAATTTTAGGTTAACTATCACTTCCTACCAAGATGACTCCATCTATTGTGTAACGCAGTTTCTTACTCATCCTTGAGGTCTCGACCTTAACATTATTTCTTCTAAGAAGGCCTCTCTGGACAACTCCATGGTTTTTTTTAGTTTTATTAAGATATAATTGACAAATAGTATTGTAAGATATTTAAGGTGTACATTGTGATGATTTGATATACATTGTGAAAAGGTTCCTCCCTTTTAACTAATTAGCATATCCATCACTACATATATATATATATATATATATATATGTATGTATATATAGCTAAGAGATAGAACTTAAACATTTAAGTTCTACTCTCTTAGCAAATTTCAATTATGAAGTACAACATTATCAACTGAGGTCACCGTGCTGTACATTAGACTATCAGACCTTATTCATCTTATAGCTGAAAGTTTACACCCTTCTACCAACCTCTCCCTATTCCCCCCGCCTCCTAGCCCCTGGAAACCACTTTTTTACTCTCTATTTCTATGAATTTGACTTTTTTTCGGATTTCACATATATGTGATATCATACAGTATTTGTCTTTCTCTGTCTGGCATATTTCACTTAGCATAATGCCATCAGGGTCCATCCGTGTTTTTGCAAATGGCAGAATTTCCTTCTTTCTCATGGCTGTGTAATGTTCCATTCATCCATTGAGAAACACTTAGGTTTTTTCCATATCGTGGCTATTGTGAGTAATGCTGCAATGAACATGGGAGTGAAGATATCTCTTCAATATCTTGTTTTCATTTCCTTTGTATATATATCCTGAAGTGGAATTGCTGGATCATAACGTAGTTCTGTTTTTAATTTTTTGAGGAACCTCCATACTGTTTCTTATAATGGTTTCACCAATTTACATTCCCACCAACAGTACACAAGGGTTCCCTTTTCTTCACATCCTTGCCAACACTGGTTACCTCTTGTCTTTTTAATAATAGCCATTCTAACAGGTGTGAGGCGAAATCCCTGGACAGCTCTGCTTCTATCCCTCACCCTGAGCTATGTACTACACCTCTGTGCTCTTTCAGCTCCTCCTATACCTTTTTGTTTACCAGTGTGTCTTCAGTGCCATCACAACTTCTGAAATATGTTTTGATCTTAATAAATGTCGCTTAATTTATCCATCTTTCCAGTCATTAGAAACATTTAAGCAAGGCATCCTAAGGAACGAGGTTTGGTGTTACTAGCAATAGTATTTTTGTGTCAAGATAACCAATAACAATTAAAAAAAAAAATCAGTCCAAATAATTCAGTCCCTATATACAAAAATAAATGGCAGCCAGATTCAAACAATTTTTAACAACTGTTTATTTGCAAAATTCAAGTGACTGCAAATTTTACTACATCTGACAAGGTAAAGTTTTTGTTCCTGCCACTGCTCTTATTTGCAATTAATTTAGCTGTTGTTAGCTTCCTAAGTGAACCAGTTTTCAAATAACAGCCAGTTACGAAAGACTAAATACACAGGAGATTGTTTGTATAATCCCAAACATTATGTGTACATAAGTTAAATGGAGTTTAACTCCATGACAGCTTGTGCTATTTGCCTCTGAAAGAGCTCTTGATTATTGAAAGATTATGGTGGGATTTGATACTCTGAAAAAATCAAAATAGATCAATAACTTTACTGATTCTTGACGTTAAAGGTTATAATCTTGATATAAGCAATCATAACTCTGTGGTTATATATCTACTTGTGCAATGGAGTGAGCAGTTTCCATCTGGACTGTTAAGGAAAGTAAACGCCTTTCCCAAACACCTTTGGTCCAATACCGCCATCTGGTGTGATGAAGAGAGGGGACAATTAGCTTCCATTCAAGGTACAGAGCTCTGCCTCAGTCTGTGGCCTTCTGAAAGAATGAATGGTCCAAATGAGCTGGTCACAATTAATTAAATACAACATCAATGTTATGTGATTATGTACAATGCAGGACTATCTGAATATCTGCACATGGACAGTTCAGAATAAAACAGGAGCAAACATTTTTAGTAATCACTGATTTATGTCACATTACTTATAAACAAAAGCAAGGAGCTTTAGTCAAAAGAAATCATGAAAAAGACAGAGTCTACAGAAACAAATGGACAGCACAGAAAACTCTCAGATTAAGGAAAAATTTAAAGGAATATGAAAGAGAGAGGACAAGGTGAAGGACGTCAAGGACAAACACATTATAACAACGGTAATAATGACTAACATTTATTCTTTTTTCATCAATGAACATAATACATTTATTTATTTAGGTCTTCTTTGATATCTATTAATAAAATTGTATCATTTTCTCAATAATTTCCTGTACACTTTCTGTTAGATTTATTCCTCAATGTAATATATTTTTTGTTGTATTATAGATTATAACTTTTGGTTTTTTTGTTTTTCTTAATAAAAATTGCATGTATTTAACATGTACAACATGATGCTTTGATTTACATATACATAGTGAAATGATTACAACAATCAAGCTAATTAATGTATCCATCTCCTCACTGTTACTTTGGCATGTGTGTGTGTATGTGTGTGATGAAAGCCCCCAAGATCTACTCTTTTACAAATTTCCGGTATTCGATACAGAATTGTTATCGAAAGTCATCATGCTGTACATTGGATCTCTAGAACTTATTCATCCTACATACCTATAATTTTGTACTTTTTGTCCAGCATCTCCCCATTTCCCTCACCTCCCTGGTAAACACCATTCTACTCTCTCCTATGAATTCAACTTTTTTTATATTCCACATATAAGTAGATAATGCAGTATTATTCTTGCTGTGTCTGGCATATTTCACCTAACATAATGTCCTCTAATTTTATCCATGTTGTTGCAAATGGCAAGATTTCCTTTTTTTAAGGTTGACTAATGTTCTGTTGTATGTATATTCCACAATTTCTTTATACATTCATCCATCGATGGACATTTAGGTTTTTTCCATATCTCAGCTATTGGGAATAATGTTTCAGTAAACATGGGAGCACAGATATCTCTTCAAGGTACTGACTTCATTTCCTTTGGATATAAACCCAGAAGAATGACTGCTGGATCATACGGTAATTCTGTAACTAAAATTTATTGATTGGATGTCATGTGCCAAACACAATTCCATGCATGTTACTTGCATCAATTCAGGTAATCAGAACTCTCTGAGGTAGGTATTATTTCAACCACCACTACATTTCATCTGAGATGAATAAACAGGGCCAGTCATTTGCCAAGATCACACAGAGAAGAAGTGGCAGAGCCAGGCCTTAACCCAAGGGAGCCTGGTTGCAGATCCCACACTCTCAACACAGAGCACCCTTCCTCTAGGGTGCTTTATGGAAT